TAGCGTAAAAACATATAATGTATATACATTATGTGAACAGTATAGGGAAGTGTGTCAAGCAAAACTTTTTCTTTATCTTGTATCATTCCCGTTTATGTCCGTGATTAAAAATTGGTGAGACAATTTTGCTTCTCCAAGCAAGGTTAATCCTTGCTTCCTGATAAGAACATTCTCTTCAGTAATGAACGTGCGATATGCGCGGCACTTTCGGGGATTAAAAAAAGGAATCTGATTACACGCGCGCTTGCAGATTATACTTATCTCGAGCTTCATGCAAAAATGGTCCAAGCGAGATTGATATGGCACTTGGCAAAATTTGCATTCGCTTACACCTCTCCTTGCATATATCGCAAGAAATATCACATCTCTTAAAAGTAAAGCCGAGATTCAATTATAAGTAAAATCAAATTTAAAAGCATTTGTCTTTCTGGCTCGACAGCCGCTCTCACTTGAAAACAGAGCTCTTCTCGTGCAACATTTAACGTCCATTTCGAGGATTACAAGCTTTACACAAAGCTCATTAAATTTTTAACATCTCGCTTAACAAACGATAGATATATCAAACGAATGAGCACGAATGCAAGCGAAAAATTGTATTTTGTAGAAAGTTTTCGGATTTACGAGCAACCTCCACTTTCTCTCGAACGAATTTGTTTGTATTCGAAATAATTTTCCCTTAAGGTATATAAATTATACCCTCGTCGATCGGCAATTGAATAAACTAGTCTGTCTTCTTCCTTTGCGTGACTACTTAAATTTAAAGAAATTTTTCTATCTTCTTCTTTTGCGTGACTTTTCTTAAATTTAAAGAAATTTCTTTGTCTTTAAAAATTAAAACCGTACATAAATTCAGTCCTTATATATAGTTGTATGTAAAGTAAGACTCGCTTTACAAGGTATTTTTTTAGTGCATAATTTTTTATCTTTAATTCCATTTTTTGAATACCTATTTTTTAATTTCAGTTTATTTTTCTCTTTCTCAAATATTTTGCTGTAGCTTTTAATTATTTATCTGTTACATACGTTTCTTTTGCCCGGGCAAACATAACGGTATTTGAAATATGTATCAGTTTGTAGGAAATATTTCTATCGCACGTAACGTTACACGTCGACTCGTTGGTGAAATTTGAGTAAAAGCGCAGGTGTTGCTGCAGGCTAGATAACTCATAATGCCGAAGCGCGCATATAGTTGTCACTTTGCTGTATAGAATCTCTCTTGGGCATTCCTTTGTAAAACCCTTTTATTTCTTTCCTCGTTTATTTCTCTTTGTTCTTTCTACCTCATTCTTCTCCGGCAAAACTTTATATCGAGAAACCGCATAAGAAGTCTTTTAAAATGATTGGTACCATTCGCCAATATAAAATTTTCAGATATTCTCCCTCTGATCTTTCTTTTTTTGGAAAAGACACATTATATAGTATATCACATATAGTGCTGTATTACGTTTATGTTAAAATGTGATGAAAGGAAAGAATACACGAGTACATTTTAATTTGCAAGATTTTTTTTATTTTGTTGTCTTTACTTTCAAAGTAAAAATATTCTTTACTTTCAAAGTAAAAAATATTCTTAAATTACTTGAAAGAGTGATATAAAATATACCAATTTTGTTGATAAGTTCTATTAATAAATAATAATAATAAATTCCTTTAATACAAATATTTATTAGAGAAAAGAAAAAAGAAAGTCACTACACATATATTTTTCATGTTATTTTCTGTCTTTTGAATTCTTCGATGATTTGCCCTTTATTTTTTTATTTTTCAACTGTTTGCACTGCTTTCAGATAAATCCGTAAAATTACAAGAAATAAAAACAATCGTTCTTCGCGACATGCTGTCATTATCAATTTTCGTTTTAATTCTTGAATCTAAAGTCTCCTGTTTTATCACGTAAGCACGTATAATTTTTGTATAAGAAATACTTTTTTTCTCTTCCATCGATTTGAAAATCTTTTATCAGAATTAAAATATACGCATTAATATGTCTGGAAAGTGAAATCTATGCCGAGAACGATCGAAAATTTCAAAATTGATATATTTTTTATTAGTGTAACATGACGTCTCAGCTGTCAAATCGTAACATTTGCTTGATACGAAAGCTTTACAATCTATACGTATCAAATAATGATTCCCAGACACGAAACAACGTCGAGTTCTTAGAATTAGACTTAAACGTTTTATTGAGTCGAATTTTGTTATACAAAAATTGATACGTACGTGACTGCGTGTATCATAGATTGCGTGAGATATTGCTGTGATAGTTTAAAAAGACATGTCGATGTGCGCGGCGCGATCTCGTCGGAGTTCGAGCTTTGCTTTAGGATCCTCTTATGTTTCAAGAAATATGCAAGGGTTTTTGTCAGTTGAATAGCATCGATAGAAGACTTGAAATTCTGAACGATCCTTTAATTCTGAAAGTTCTTTCGGTTCCTTTATTTTCTGTCCATTCGAAAAAAGAGTAACTTTCATATGTAATTTATCTTTTTTTTTAGTACAACAAGATTATTGGCGATACTTATCGTTGTTATAGCTCGTTCGTTCGGATGTTGTTAATTTACATAATTATCTAAAATTTTAATGTCCTTTGCAACCAGATACAAGAGAAATAGATATAGTCGATGAAATAACAATTCAAGATAATGCAAATATAAGTAAATACATGGAATAATTAAATATTTAGCAAGAATAAAATGACATTTCCAAATTAAGTTTTACTCTTCTCTAGTGTCTGATCACGTCTGGATGCAATGTTATTTTTTAAATCGGATGCATTGACTCGGAAAAAATACCAAAAGCTAAAAACGCGAATCTGAGAAAATAATTTTAAATAGTACAACGCAGCATTTTAAGATTTATTCACGTTGAAAAGACATATTTCGTTTATATAATTTCCGTTCGACTACATAATTGAATCAGAGAGATCTTTCATTATATTGAATAATTGTAATTTTAATATCTCTCGTGAAATATGGGAGGTGATATTAATCCACAAGCGCAGGAAAAATAATAACCCAAAATATTAATCCTTTTATTCACTCGCTGCAACCAGGTTCCGTATTACGAAAACTTGGAAAAAGGGATTACAAACAGGGATTGCGAATTTACTCCTTTTACCACGAGATTATTTTTTTATATTTATATGCATACCGATACATGCCAAAATGATTAAAAAATAAAACACGAATAAAATAAAATAAAAGGGAAAGAATTTAGAAGAAAAGGTAAGAGATCTTAGTACAAAGCGTATAGAATAAGCATCTTTTTTATATTATCAGTGACATAAAATATCTTACTTTTGCTCACAAATAAGGTACAAATGCTGTAAAATAAGAGCGGAAGACAGAATCTGAACATATATAAATATAAAGCAATCAAAGATAATAAAAATTTCGCTGAATAACCGATAAATTCTAATTAATTAAATGTTGCCTCTTGATCCTTTCTTCGATGTGTGTGTGTGTGTGTGTGTGTGTCTGTGTGTGTATGTGTAAGTGGGGGGGGGGGGGGGGG